CTCGTTGCCTGAAGCTTGCCCCCCCCCCACGAGTGACCTGTTGGGAAACAGTGGCCGTTTTCCACCCTCCTCACAGATATGCAATTCCCTGTTTCGGGAGCTGAAACCCAGGTGCCAATCCCATGGGATGGGGCTGCTGCACTCAACGGGGTGGAAACCAACCAGCCGTGGGTGCTGGGAGCAGGGACCTGCCTCCTACAGGCTGCGAGGTGGATGGAGGTGAGAGCAAGGCTGTCCGACCAGCCCAAGGAGTCCAAGCAGCTGCTGATGGCCAGTGACACCAGCGACCTGCAATGTTTACACGTTGGTGTCAGGACTGCTCAATTCTTCCATCCAAATTCTCACCGAGGAACGACGCTTCCCATCGACTCCAACCTTCTGCCTCCGGTTGCAGTCGCAGCCCTGGAGTCCACCTCTCGGTGACTTTGGTTGTCTCATTTTAACAGTGGTTGTTTCTAAATTAAGAAAAGTGAAAGAAAAATGTGAAATGAATACTCTGTTGTTGGATTCGACGTCGTTCAGGATACGGGAACAAAACGACGACACAATTCATCCTGTGCAATCTACCAGATCCGTGGAGCTGTTTCCAATGTACGTGTGGTGTCATTGTGGTAAATAAGATGAAAAAATGTATATCAGAAAAAAAAATAATCTATCTTTAACATAGAATGTGGTACATAAATATATCGAACAATAAAAGAAAACATAGTCGATGAGGCTGGGCTGGTTCCTGGGGGCTGGGAGCTGGGCAGGGGCAGGTCCACCCTCCCCGTGCCCCTTGGGATTGGGGGGTATCAGAGGGGCAGGGGCAGTGGGGTTATGCTGTTAGCCAGAGGAAGGGCAATTATGTTTTGGGAAGGGCTCGTTCTACAGTTGGGGGGTGAGGGGGATGATTTCACCCCCTCCCAGCTTTGCTTCACCCCGTAGCGCTCAGACTCCGGGGGTGGAGTGAGTTTGTAGCTAAACCCTGAGATTTTTGTTCTTGTGGAGGTGAAAACCCCAAACCTCGGTGGAGGAGGGTGGGAAATAAAGGAACTGCGGGGCCGGGGGTATCCCTTGGCTCCCCCTGAGCACCCCCCGCCCCC